TGCGTACTTAGGTATATTTTGTGGACTTGTGCATCAGCAGTGTTAACACGCGTGGGGCAAAGAGCCCGGTGTTCCAAGCAATTTTCGGATAATCAAAAAGGTGAGATCGTGTAGATTTATAATAAAGGTTGGTGTGACATTTAGTGCCCTGCAGCCCACCTGAAGCTTACGCTTGCACCTTCAAGCGTTGTTGTTAATCGATGCAAAAAAAGGGCTCTCCTACCAGTACCACATTGCCGGTCAAAAAGTCGTGCCAATATATATATATACCGGATTGTCGAAGTGTAGTCGAGCAACGCGTGCAGTCTGTGCTAGTGGTGTATTATTCTGCATTTGTTGTGTGTGCGTGTTTGTCTGTATGTGAATGTGTGTGTCACCAATTCTGCCGTTCAATAAATTCAATCAATTCTGCTATTCAATAAATTTGTCGACTCTGAGCGAATGCACCCGTCATTTTTATTTTTTTACCACCAGAAATAACTCCCAGTAATCACCTCAAAAACCTTGTGAAGGTAGTAAAAATTTACTCTCTTTATACTCGCTGAAAACCTCACTGGGGTAAATAATTACTACTCTCGCTACGTTCAAAAACTCAGTTAGCACGAGAGTAAATTTTTACCTCGGTAGTAGGTGGTAAAAAAAAACCAGGAAAGGTAGTGCGCTAGAGGACAAATGGTTTAACCAGTTTTTGAGGTTATTTCAGGTCATTTTTGTTCAGTGTGTAGTGTCGAAGACTCGCGAAAACAGCTTCTAAACAACTTAGCTGAAACCGACATTTCGTTGAGACGTAGCTGCTACAATTGAGCTCCGAATTTCGTTTCTACTGCATTGAAGAACACGAAGTTACAGGATGACAAAACGGCCCTTTAATCGACAAATGCTAGTGTAGCACCACGCTTACGTGAGCTATTATTTTTTACCAAACACCCGGATTGACACCGCATATGCATCTAGGCCAGACGTTATACTCGTCGTGCGTAAATCAAAAAGTTGCGATGCGATGCTCCTAACATAAAATCTTTGTATAAACAATGCACACTGCCTACACCGCACCTCGCTGTAGGAGAAGAGTCTCGTTTGCTTGGCGCAAAGTTCTTATGCACCGCAGGGGTGGCTAGAACTGCAACCAGCCGCCTGCTCCCCAAAAGCGAGGTGGGGAGACAGAAGCTCAAAAAGTGTTTGTAAACGTTATAGTGACATATAAATTGCACCAGAGCCTGCCAGTCTCTGGCAAAACTGTGCGTTCACCGGCAAACCACCCCTCAAAACTTCCGGAGCTTGTTTTTTGCGTGGTTTTGGTCTTTGTTGCTTGCAGCTATAGCCGTGGCTTCTTGCGTTCCGATGTTTATGCGGATAAAATTTTTCCGATGAAGTGCTGGCAACTCCAGGAGAGCTCTGTCAAACCACGATGCAGTCTGCAAGACTGAAGTAATTTTATAGTCAAAATGTTCTGGTTTCCGATCAATGACGACAAAAAAAAAGCGCCTGCATTGAAGCTATCACGCGAGAAAACTGGATACCCTTTCAGAGCGTGTAGGTTTGTTCTGTCCACTTCATGAAAGGCAATGTACACCTCAGCGCCGACTAATGCCGCAGAAGTGATAATCATATGTTAGACTAGTCGAAGGCCCCAAGTTACTGGGAACACACTGCAGCCGTCGCTGTCGTCTTCCATCCGTGGCAGATAAGCGTATTGACGCCTGTAATAGGTAGCGAAACGTGATAGCTAACACTGAAAATTCATCGCAAAGGGGTTTCTTGTATACACTGTAAAAAATTACTCCGAGGTCAGTGTAAAACACTTGTCCTCTAGCGTCCCCCCTATGTGGAGCAATTTTCGCTCCGGACATACGGAGCAAAATGTTTGCTCCGGCTCGCCGGAGGAATCGCGTGGTGCACCCAGAGTACCTTCAAAAGATATTTCACTGTGGCCGACCGAAGCATTTGCGTGGCGCCCCCGAAGTACTTTTTACTGGCATTTTCCTCCGGCTGGCTGGACTGATTACGTGGAACATTTGGAGCATTTTCGCGGATTTTTCACTCCGGCTATCCGAGGCTTTTGTGTGGTACCTCCGGAGTATTTTGCGAATATACTTAATTAAAATTTCAGTAAGGTGGACCAGTATTTTTCAAAGTGTTTGCACCGCTGTTTATTTATTGTATGCGTTGGTTAGATGAAGGAAGTCTCTATTCTCATGCAATCACAACAGATGTACTGTGTATTCTTTTCCACAGAGCTCTAGCAGATGAAATTGAAGGAAACACGTGAGTTCTTATGCTTTATTGTTCAATATAAGCTGCCAATTCTGGATGATTACCCAGCATTTAGGAAAAGGAGACAAGAATAAACAAACATGCAAAAAGCCACCAAAAACAAAACACAATAAGACAGAGCAGATCAAGTCTACAGCACTCAAGTTTGAACCACAGCGCTTCACAGTGAACCCCATAATGCTGCAAAATGATGCACGACAAACGAAAAAACCAAGGCCACCGAGAATAACTCTTCACCATCTCTGAAGGACCATCCATCAGATGCATTGATGACGCAAAGGTTGAGATGATTGCTTCCTGCACAATTTAGAAAAAAATAATTATACATGAGGACTGCAAACCACGTGAGAGGCACGAAACACACACACACACTCTCTCTCTCTCTCTTTCTCTCTCTCTCTTTGTCTCTCTCAAAGACAGTATCAGCGTTCAATATCAAGAATCGCATCCGATGCAATCCAGTGCGAGACAGCCGCAACATGATAAAAAGGACACCTGCCTGACGCAAACAAAGTTCAAAAGTGGTCAAAGCTTTCTGCATACTTCTAAATCAATAGATCTATCTTTTCTTAAACATCCAAAAGCAATTTTTGACTAAAATAATCTTATTTTGGCTCCCACAGGTCGCTAGATTGAATCCCGGCTGTGGCAGCTGCATTTCCGATGGAGGCGGAAATGCTGTAGGCCTGGTGCTCAGATTTGGATGCACGTTAAAGAACCACAGGGCGTCGAAATTTTTGGAGCCCTCCACTACGGCATCACTCATAATCATATGGCGGTTTTAGGACGCTCAACCTTACACATCAATTAATAGAGAGCTTTAGTTTAGCGCGCGCAAGGCGGTACGCGCCCAACGGCTAGCGCGCGAAGTACGTTACAGCTGAGTCTGCTTGCTAGAGTATCAGTTTAGCCAGAGTCCTTCAATGCTTTTCTGGTCACGAAACTCCGCCCGAAGGTTGATATAGGGACAAAATCTGTCGCTAGAGGCGCCACCCGTCGTATGGGGGCCACAAGCCGCCGCCACTGCTGGGCTTGTATGCGCACTGCGGCCGACGTTTCGACGCGATTATGTGCGTGCTGTTCTTCCTGTTACCTTTTTTTAAACGTCTCTGAACGCATCAATGCCAACAGATAAATAAGTTGAAACGGGATCCAGTGTCGACGACGAATGAGAGCTGTTTACTTTGGAACGCACGCGTAGTTTACTTGGAAGTGCGGGTTCACCTTATAAACAGCATCGCATTAAATGTGTTCTCACAACGCGCGATAACGCATTGTGTCAATAATTGTCTCATAGCCTAATTATATGCATACTTACGATGCCTCGAAGCGGTACTTGCGAGCTATAGCTCGCAAGTGTTGAAAGACAGAATGCTCCATGCTCTTGATGCGAGCAGCTACTGCTTGATCTGCTCGACAACATGTTTGTATTTGCGCCCGGCCGAAGGGCGATTATGTTTATGCGGTAGGTGAGCTTTATATTCTGGTAGGGCCGCTAATAAGGGGAGGAAGGTGAACGAAATGAAACACGACTGGGTAGTACAGGAGCAATCACATTGGTTTATATCCGGCTCGCCTCTCGCGCGCTACTACCCAAGTATTCAAATGAACTGAATGGTTGAGCCAGAAGTTTTATTCCAGATCTTTTAATTGAGTTTATACCCAAATGCGCAGTTGTTTTTGACACACGTTTGTGAGCGCCGATTGCTTTTTTTGACGCGGGGACTTTCGATGCCGAGGGCTTTCGCGACCGCTCTAAACGTGCCCAACATTTGATTGATCACTTCTTTCCACGCAGTTTACACGGGACACCCGCCGCTTGACGTTTTCTTGTGTTTACTGTTTAGGACATTATTATTTACCGGCCGACAACCCATGATTTCTCCGGGAACGGAAGTACAGCAGCCTAATCTGGAAGTTTCTTTTGATGCCAGTGCTAGCCGCTTGGCCGCCTCTGCCACTACCGAGGTACCTCATCACACATTTGTTTTTATATTTTGGGTGGGAGGGGGGGAAGGGCGGTTATGATTTAAGGCATGCAATAAATCTTAAATTTGGTGCTAATGATACGCCGCCTAGTAGTCAGGTGTGTACTTATGAATGGTAGATTCACATATGGTGCATGTAATGGGGAGAAAGTTGGAAAACATTTATTTACACAAAATACACTGAGAACAACACTTTGGAGAAGAAAAGCACTAGAAACTATTGCAGCTGTTCTGAGCAATGTTACACAATCTGTGACTCTACTGTACAATGTGTATTTCGTTTCATTAACAGCTGCACTCTGCCTTAGCTCACTGCCTAAAATAAACTGTATTTGAATATACACTATTTACACTATATGCAGATAAATATGAATAGTACGAAAATAATACAGTGTAATGTATACAAGATATACAACACTATATACAAATGGGAAGGCGTGCTCACATACACAGCCATTATGCTTAACACTGTGGCTTCCGCCCACCACTTGCAGGGCATGAACTGCGCACAGTTGGCCGCGAGGCTTTCTTTTTTTCTCGAGTGAAGAAATGTAATCTACATCTCAAAAAAAGTGTACAACCTCAGCTGTTGTCCCTAAAAAGTGCAACAGACAACCTACACTTGCTGACGCTGTGCGGCTGTCGAGCAAAATGCCCTCAACAATCCTCGCGTACACGACACCGCATGCAACGTTTTGCACCGTGTACATCTCTACATGTTCTTCAACAATTTTCAGGAGAGCAAGAAGACGGCTGCTAGGTACTTTCAAATAGCCCCTCGATTTTGTTTTGATCAAGGCAGATGCTGACGTGTTGTGCTCAACATCGTTTCGATGCAGCCTAAGCAATCCAAAGTAGAAAACTTCTTGGCCACATATCCGCCGAGGTAATCCAAAATGGAGTCTTTGGTCGAAAGGGGGCCAATGTCCTCCACGCAGTCTGTTGTTGGCTCCAGCAGGACATCGTCCAGCAGAACAGCTAGTGTGTCCACCTGAAATGCGCACAACTTCCTGAATTTTCAAGGTGATAAAAAGGAAACTTCAGGACACATACACGACACAAATTGGAAAATACCTGAGTCGTAGAGGGCTTTTCCTTGTCAAAAAGACCTTGCAGAGTGAGAAGCAGTTGTGGCCCGCTTCCGTCAACTGAAGCTCGCTTAGGTGGCCGCACGAGGTTGTTCACCGACAGCATCCGGTATATAAACAAAAACTGCTCAACAGTTGGTTGGCCCCCGTCTCATGCAACATGCCTGGCTATCCCAAAGAAGCGCTGGACAAGGAAAAAGAAAGGTATCTGTACCAACACACCGTGCCAAAAAGTACCTGAATTACCCCTAAAGGGTCTTGGTCGAGGTTTACAACTAGAACATAACGGAAGCCAGACTTCAAGAGTCGATCAATCAGGGCCACCGTGCTGTGCAGCGTCATCCTCAGTGCACCACAAGTTGGTTTGCTAAGGAAGCACACCTGCCTCTGCTTCGGCAGGCTCTCTATGTATGTGCAGCAATCCTCCAGCCACTTTATGTTCGCCTTCAATGTCTGCAATGCAAGAAATATTAACCTTGAGTACACTATAAAAGAAAAACATATTTGGGTGTGATTTACTAGCTCACCGCGATGTGCTCGGCTTCGTTGTATTGCACGTCCTGTGGTCTTCTTGAGTTGAGGCAGTCAAATAGATCGTTCATCTGCTTCGTGAAGTCGTATGTACCTGCGGAGTTATGTAGCTTTTGGCAGCCTTCTTGCTTGCTGTAAAACTCCATTGCAGACGCCGTGCTTCCATGAAAAGCTGAAAATGATGGCACACTGTTGTTGAACGAAAGAGCTTGCATTGAAATTTGTCTTTTTTGACAAATCATCAGCAAAGTTTTGTGTCATTAGTTCGCCTGTAAGTAGCCTTACTAATTACTAGGAGTGGTTACTCGCCTGAACAGCAAGCCGGACACTCATCTTCTGGAAGGCGTTCGGGAAGATGTGAGCCCTTGTGAGCTCGGGACTGCCCGAAGGCCAGCCTGTTGCTCCTCGTACTCCAGCAGGCCAGAGTAGAGAAAGTGATAGACCTCATGTCCTTCCGGTAGCTGCGATAAAAAGGGGAAGCCACTCCTCGCAAAGGGAGTAACCTGACGTAGATATGAATTACTGCTTACCAGAAACTTTCCAACCTTCTGAAGATTGTTCCTTATGCATTTGAAGACATGCGGTGGACCAATTAGTGCATGCACTGTCCGTGAAGGGTGACATGGATGCTGGAATGAAGTTTGCAGCTGTTTCTGGTCACTGTTTATCCCTGAAAAGAACACATCAATGCAGTTAGTAGTGTTCAATTCTTAATTTGACAAATTTAACTCGTGTCCCCAGATACTAACCCAAGCCTGAACGATTTGGTGTTGAATTATCGCATGTAACAGCATCGACAATAGCGCCAGCGTTCGAAAGGTGCACAATGCACTGGAGCAACAACTTCGCTACTATTGAACTAGGGGCTGCACCGGAGGAACAAAAGATCCCAACAGTCTGCGATTACCCTCCAAGAAATGGTAGGAAGAGAAAGACCAGGACGTGATCGCCATCTTTCTCACAGTCCGAGGGTCTTGTGTGCTAAGCGAAGTTAACTTTTCCGAGCAGAGCCATGTCTGACTCCCTAATGTGCACACTCTTTCTTACGCTAATTTCATCGAACATCAGGACACCTGTAAAAAAATACATCTTATTAGACATGCACCACATATGAGATATGAAGTCATAGAATGCAGTAGTAAGTTTGTGCATTGTTCCAAACCTCGACGCTCTCGCTCAGGAAGTACTTGCAGCTTGTCTTTGAGAACGGTGAATAGACTGCTGTCAAAACCAAAGTCAGCCTTGAGGCTCCTCAGGTACGTGTAGAGGGTGCGAGGGTTGGGCAAGGGAAGGTACTCATTCTCGTGAAGGAATGTATAGACCGCTGTCGACTTAATCTTCAGTAGCAGGCAGTCATAAATCCATGCTTTTTTTGTACCTATAGAGAGTGCAGGCTCGTTGTGCATTAAGGTAAACCGAGGCTGGTGAGTGAACAGTGCAAGTGCATAACCACAGCAAGTAGAAAAAAGAAGATGCACGACATGCATCACACCATCTTTCCTCATACCGCAATACACAACCACCGCGTTTAAAAATGCCTTGTCATTTTCAATATTAACATGCACCCCTACTCCAGTACGAGAGCAACAGACAGCTTGCATTGTGCGATCATGCAAAGCGGGCAATTTAGGATTACTCTGACATGCAATGCGAGCGTGCACTGCTCTTAAAAAATATGCACAAGACAGTGGCACGAAAAAGATGTGCGATTATATTCATAGCTTCGTGGCAGTTATGTGCGACTGAAGATTACCTGGCAGCTTTCGGAGATTTCGCGTTTGCCTTCATGATGCACTGATCGTAAATAAGCTTCTTGCGGGTAGATAGCTTGTCCAGGTTTTGCAAGAGTCTTGCATTTTTGTTGGCCAGGACTCTCATCTTTGCAAGCTGCTTCTGACACCATTCGAGTCGTTGCCGCGTACTCGAAAGCTTCGCCTTTAGCGCCTGCACTTCAAGAAACGAACACACTGCCTGTTCCGTTCGGCAGGCCTGATCTGCGTGTCCGCTATCACTGGCTGCTGCATCTGTAATACAATTCAATAACACTGTTCAGAAGCACCTCAATGCCACCAGCCGCTAACACAGGGTCATGCGACTGAGGGAACAAAGTAACGCCGCGACTAAACCGGCTCAAGAACTTACCGTCACTGGCTTCTCCTGCCGAGTCGGTGTTGACATTTTGGCATTCCACTGCTGCGCATTCCGGTGTGACAATTCACGCCACCTCTTCGCTGGTTGCCTCTGAGTCGCAGGCCGTGAACGCGGTTTCGGCTTTGTCAGGTACGCCGGGAGCCCGTCAAAAATTCTTGGAACGGCGTTCGTGCGAAGCCTCGGTCTCTCTCGCTGAAGCGACACGGCCACCCCGTTCACGATGTGCTCGTCGGTTCTCACAACGTCGCTAGCATCAAAATGCTATTCGCACACCCGAACGTTCTTACTTTCGAAGCTGAAACCGCCACCTTCCAACCGCGGTATAGCTCGCTTCCATTTCTCTCGGAGTTCGGCGCTACTTGGGAAACAGAAGAGCGACGCCTTTTTTTTGTTGCTTCGGTATCCGGAGCTGTAACCCGTCACACAGCACGTCTTAGGCATTGTTCATTCAAATTTTCATGCCGTTCACCTTGAGCACGGTGCACTGGCACATGAAGTTCGCGTTTCGCTGATGCAGAAACCGCGAGCTGCCACCACACAACGCCTTCGGGATGCCGCCGTGGCCAGTGCGTTCCGCCGGGCGCAGCGGGGCGATGGTCCCCCTAGGACGGCTTGCACCACGTAGCGGCCGCTCTTGGCACCATATCAAGCTCTCCCATAGAGTGACGGAGAAGTTTCGTGACCAGAACGGTATTAAGGGACTGTGGTTTAGCGTACGCGAACGCGGACACATGGACTGCGCCTAGGCGTCAAGACGTTCATCTTGGAGTGGCATTTGGCGCCACCTGGTGACTAGCCATAAAGCGCAATAGCCAATTATAGTTGACACGAGTCAAGACATGAGCCAAGCCAAAATTTCAGGAGGAGCTTAGTCTGACCATAGAGAAATAAAGGTTAAGAGTGGACACTCCCGTAGACCCCAGCGGCCCAATCGACCCTAGCACACCTAGTGGTTGGTGAGAGCAAGTGGCGTGCGCTTCCTGTTTCGGTTTTACTGGCGCGAATTTTGAATTACTTTGCATAACCGACGTTTGGCTATGACGAAAGTTCATGATTTCAGACCACTATTCATCGCCCAAATGGATAGTTTTTGTAGGTCGTTTTGATTTAGCGATTCCCTGTTTTGTTTTGTTCAGTGGTTCGTGCGAATCGGTCGTGACGTAATTTTTATTTCGATTAAGTTATAATAAAAAGAGATGCAGGTAATGATAATTCACTACGGTTTTATTCATCGCGCTTGTGTTTTTCTTTTGGAACGAGTGATCAATGTATATATCAGTCAAAGAAACAGAGTATCCGTAATGTTTTATTCAACGGCAAGGTAGAGTCTGAGAATATAAAAAGCACAATATGACAAAGGTAGACAACAAATGCATCTCGCCTTACAAATAAATTGTAACAAATACAGAGAGAACACAGACAACGCACACATCGCTAGAGTTGGCAGAAGCCGAGAAGCTGGTGAAGTATGACACACCGGGCCAGTGGGTAAGTAAGGATCTATGGCAAAAACACAGCGCACAATGCTAATGAAGAAGGAAGAAGTGACATATACACAGCAATGAAGTCGCGAATCACGCCTGGGGTTAACCGAAATATTGCATATAAAAAAGAGCACACAGAAACCACACGACACAATATAGCAGAAGGGCAAAGGTGCCGTGTGCTGGCTGTGCTTAAGAACAGCTAGTCCAAAATGAAAAAAAAAGCAGACTTGATGCCTGCTTGTCCTCAGAAAGGTAAGGCTTTGCAGCTTGCTCACTACGTGAAAGACAAACTTTATGCTACAACACTGGCAGGTTTTGTGGCTTTTGTTATGCGTCGCCTTCATCAAAAACTTAAGATCCCAAGTGATTTGCGTCTGGGTGTTGCTGTGACGCTTGCGAGTTCAAATAGATTGTAGTCATCACTTATCCAGAATTGTGGACCTTAATTGGTGCTACGAGAGCGGTATTACAGGGCTAATAAATAGCAGAAGGAAACCACTTTGGCTCATTATTTTTCACAAAGGCTCTACATCGTACGTTATCACTCAAAAGCTATATAAAAATAAAATGGCAGCGTCCGCAGCCCCATCAAACGCTACAAGTTTGAGTATTCTTTTGAAAATTTTGATGGGCGTGATGAGGAGGTTGATGAGAAGCTAAAATACGAAAAGCGTGATAACGTGAACCGTGCCCACTTCATACTGTGTTCCTTGCCCGCTCGAAGACATTTCAACAAGCGGTTTTGTTATCAATATATTACTTGAGCTGGAGAGATAAAGCATACACAGTGACCAAGCGAGCCACAGTAAAGTGTACAGTTCGCCCGCATTTGCTACAAAAATACAGACAGGATACCCAACATTCTTTTTAAGGTTATGCAAATCACTTCGAGCGAATACACAGTGTCCCTACTCCTCATAGCGGGTAACCTAAACAATGTATGCAACGAAGGA